GGAGAGAGGGAGAGAGGGAGAGAGGGAGAGAGGGAGAGGGGGAGAAGGAAAGAGGGAGAAAAAGAGAGGAGGAGGGGGAGAGAGGGAGAGAGGGAGAGAAGGAGAAGGGACAGTGCAGGAAAACCAAACAGGACCTCTACTCTCACCACAAGGCCCACCAGGGAGGCTTGTGGGCCCCCCTGGCTCCCTGGGTGCTCAGGGAGGAGGGAAGCTCAGGGAAAGGAGGAGGAATTGGAATGTTGGCAGGCCTCATGGCTGGAGAGACCCTCCAGTGGGGAACAGCTCAGTTTACAGCGCGGGATTAGAGCAGACATCAAGAAATACTTCCTGGGCCTGGCTCCTAGTGCAGCCCTTAAGTACGGTGCAGGGGAAGCTGGATCCCACATGGCCAACCAGGGTTTCAAGTCCCAGCCCCACAGCTTATCCACTGGGGTGTGTGTGCACGTGCCCAGGACAGGGGAAAGGATTGCCATGAGCAGGCCCTGGGGGGTATACTTTCTGTCTCTGCAAGCACACATCCCATGTGCACTGTGTGCACATGTGCCCTCTGGAATAAGAACAGAATATTTTTCTTAGAGAAAGAAAAAAAAATGCTTCCCAACTCCAGAGTCGGGGGCTGTGATAGAAGCAGCCATGGACTGGTAGCTGGGAAGCCGGGGCTCACCGAGGGACCCTGGGACATCGTAGCCGTTCCCCGAGGCACCACTGGGATAGCTGAGAGGGAAGGAAGACAAGAAAGATAGGTGGGGTGTCTGGAGGTTGCTGGGTCACTCCCAGGCTGGCAGGACTTCAGGGGAGGGAAGAGCAGGGTCTGACTCCTCTTCTCACAGGGAAACGGGGCCAAGGAGGATGAAAAACCCTATCCAGGATCCCACTGCACCTCTGCAGCACAGCCGAGGCTGGGAGCCCACCAGGTGCTTCCCCTCAAACCACACTGGCTCTCAGCTCACTTATGCCCGTGCTTCGGGCAAGCCTGGCTCCAAGACCCTCCTGCCAAAGGGACGCTGAAAGCCCCTAGCCGCACCCTGCACCCTCCTGTCTGAGCTTCACCAGGACTCAGACCAGGAAGACTGACTGGCAAGGTGACCCTCCTACAGATCTCTGCGAGATTCCCCCACGCGGGGACTGCTGGGAAACTCAGGAGTTGCCGGAGAGCAGGAGAGGATAAGTTCTACTTGGGTTTTGGCCCGGAGCAGAGGCGCTCTCTCAACTCCCTGCCCTCAAACTGGCCCACAGACCCACCTCACCAGCCTCCTCTTCCTCCTCCCTACTCCCATCATGGAGACGTCCTACCTTCTGCCTTAAGCCAGTCCTGCCTGTCCCCAGGAACCAGGCCTGGGGCGAAGGGCAGGCATCCCCTCTTCTCTCGAAGGCTTTCTATCAAGCAAGCTTGGGACTCCTCCGTCTTCGGAAACGCGCCCCAGCCCCAGTCCTTCTCCAGCTCCTGCCCTTTCTCTTTCCTTCTCTCTCTTTCTCTC